TGATTGAAAATTACCGAAAAATTTTATAAATTCAGTTACACATATTATATTAACTATAAATAACTTTTTCAAGAATAAAAATTACCAAGAGTGTATCCGCTAATAAATTTTCACAATCCATTGTTTGATGTGTTTTTTTTTTTTTTTTTTTGCCGTCTCATATTTTAAACTTTGACAAAAATCTCCCCAGTTATCTTAAATATATGCGTTTATAAATATAAAAGTGCACTACGACTACTACGAGAAAAAGAAATATTTCGGTTACATAATGGTCATATTTTTAAGTTGCCTTTTCAGTTCATTTTAATACAAGACTACACGAGACCCGTTGCGTCACAGGCGGTTCAGGTTATTACCTCAAAAATGGTGAAAAATCTTTTTTCATTCGTATTCTCCGGTCATCATCAAGCATGGAAACTATTTTCTTTTTGGTAAAATTAGGTAGCATCCAAGACGAAAAAATATAATACCAAAGGACAATAGTTTCCATGCCTGATGATGACCAGAGAACCTGTCGAAAGTACTTGCATAATTAAGGAAAACCTAATACAGTTTATAATTTAAAAAAACAAGGATCATAAAATTTATCGAGTGACGCGTAGGTTAATGTATTTTTTAAAATTCAGTTAGAAAAATAAATTTGACATTATATCTCATTAACTTTACTTTTTGTATGAATGATTCATTGTATATATATATATATATATATATATATATATATATATATATATATATATATATAATGTGTTTTTACAACTATTTGTACCAGCATCCATTCAGCACTTGTTCTTTTAGATTGCGGAAGATGTTATTTTATCAAATGATGTATTCATTAGCCTCTACCAAGCCAAGTTGGGTGTGTAAAATTTCTTTAACTTACCAATAATTGCATGAATTCATAAATAGAAAACAGAATGAAAAGAGATTTAAAAAAAAAAAAAAATGAATAAAAACGTGCTATGATTCGAAGTAGGGAGAATAGCGGTAAAAAGGAATGAGACATAAGCGGAAATATGCTAATCGAAAAATTTCGCCATTCTCTCCGGGCCCTGTTCGGCACATTCGAACGGGGAAGAGAAATGAAAAGTAAAATGATTCTAGAGTGAATCAATCGAACATGAATAACTGAAAAAAATAATAATACAGGAAAAAATTTTCTTTTAACTAAAATTCAAAGATTAGAATGATAAGAGAAACAGTAAATATAAAATGAAACAAAAATGGGAAAAAATAAGAAAATAAAACAGAAAGAAACTATCTGACAAATATTTATTGAATCTTATATATATATATATATATATATATATATATATATATATATATATATATATAAATAAAAAAGAAAGAACAGTAAGATATAAAATCCAGTGTTCTTATAGATATTTTATTTTTACAAAATAGAGCTCAATGTAAATTTACAGAGCATTTTTAAATCAATTAATTTTAATATATATATATATATATATATATATATATATATATATATATATAAACGACAGGAGGCTTGGTAAAATAGTAGGTAGTGGTTCAGATTTGAAGAATCAGAGAGCCGAGTTCGAATTCTAGTCGAATACATTACATTCGCTTACGTGCTAATACCCTTGGGAAAGGTAATAATCCTATTCTTCTCCCTCCAGCTATGGAGGACAAACTGGGTTTGTATAGCCTTGGATGGCAACTGGACTTGGAGAAGGACAACTCTGAATTCAAAACCTGCGGAGGGTTGTTTGAGGACCTTGTGGCACGCAATGCACTGTATTCGTCCCTCAAAAAAATGTGGTTGGTTCCACGCAAAGCCTTCATAACTATAATCAAATCATATGTGGTGTCTGGGCTGTCGCTAGGAACTGATCCTGACGGGAGAGTCCACTACATATATACATATTGTTAGTTGAATGCTATTTTCAGTTGATACTCGTATTTGAGTAGATGAATTTATTTCCGTCTGCCGGACAGAATATTACAGAAATCTTTTTACAGAAAAATATATGCTTTACCGCAGAATTCGAAGGAGCGTCCCCCTAGTGAAAACTGTCATTAAATTTGACTTGCTTTAGACGTCTCGGTAATAATAGACAAACAAAGCTGGATAGTGCCTTTAAACACAGATCTTTCTCTGAATCTAGAAAACGACATATCTCCTCAGTGTCGTATCGTAACGTAAACAAAGCAATTTCTAAAAAATGTATTTATTATTTTTACTCATTATGGATGTCTTATTTTTACCCGTCAGATTTTATTACATGAACTTTTTTTTTTTTTATCGGATACTAGTATTTGCTTAGATGCTTCCTTTATTTTTTGAACAGTACATTTATATATTTTTATCAGCTTAAATCAATTTAAGAAATCTTATCAGAGAAAAATATGCACTGTCGAGCAGTATTTGAACCTGATTTTCCGAAGAGTCATAACATCTGAAGTGTTTTAGATTTCTTGCCAATGGAGTTCGTTGACTGTAAAACAATGTTGAATAGATTCCCCTGTAAGATGCCCTAGCAATAAATATGTATTTTAAGACCTGCAGAATGTGACGAAGGAAAGGACTAAGCATAAATAATAAAAAAAGACAGAATGCATGTTTATCAGCAAATCAGATGAGTTTAAATTGCTTCGTCAGTCATGTTTCGAAAAGATACATGATCGGCTTAGCGTGTGTCCCGTATGGCACATAACTGATAGGGATTTAAATATCTGGGAAGAGTTCGAACAGAGGCGGAAAAGTGTGATAGTGACATCCGAATAATATTTGGGATGGCCAATTAGGCATCCCAAAAGCTAGGCAGGGTATTCAGAGACACAAAAGGATCCATTAGAAACAAAGAAAAGAGTAATGAACTGATACGCGATATCTGGCCTGTATGGCAGCGACTGTTGGGCAATCCCCTCAAAGATAAGGAAGTGACTTGAAGCAACAGAAATACAGCAAAATACGGACGATACCAAGGATTGAGTATGTGTGCAACGGCGCGATTAGGAGGAGAATGGAAACAAAAATGAAACTCATCCTTAACATCAGGAATAGGCAGTTAAAATACCTGGAGCACGTAATGAGGAAGGAGGGTTTTGGAAAAAAAGCGGACCAGATTGAGGGAAAGAGAAACAGAGGGAATCAGCGCGTAACATACTTGATAGGTTTGAACAAAAGGATTTTAGAACAAGGTACGGGAGAAATAACAAGATAAACCTTAATAAGGGCTACAAGAGAAAGGAAGAGGTGAAGGGCCATGATCTCCTACGTCTTGAAGGGACACAGCACATAAAAGAAGAAAAATAAAACGAACTGTCTACGCAAAAACGTGTATCATGAAAAACAAGGTTTAAGTAATAAAGTCTGTTGGATTAATAAAAAATCATTTCTCGCACTCTTTCTTTATATATATATATGTATATATATATATATAATTTTAAAGTATGCCATATTTATGGGATAAAGTGCTTAGTATCAAGGATATAGCGTGTGTAAATATAAAAGTGAACTTCTAAACGAAATCCTCGTGGCCTGACGATTGTGTTTCGCATGAAACAGACAGTCACATCCGGGCGTTGACTTCAATGTTCTACATGTATGTATGTGTATGCACATATATATACACTGCGTGCCAAATTATTATCAAGATAACTTTTTTCTAACATTTCAAAAGCCGTCCAATCAATTCACACAAAATTTTGACATAATGTTGGCAACACTGATCTGCGTAATCCCTGAAATTTTCGTATTGATCTGCGTAATGTAAACAAACCGGCGCCATATTTGTTATCATGTTTATAGCACGCAGTGTATATATATATATATATATATATATATATATATATATATATATATATATATATTGGGATTTACTCCCCACGACGTCAGGTTGTGACACAAGTTCGATTTAATGTGGGGAGCCCGACCGCGTACACACGAGTTAAGATCAAAAATTCTCAGGGTCGCCGCAACCGTCAGTTGCCCGGGCATCGGTGCGAGCACCGATCGCTCTCTCTAGTGCAATGATAGGATACGGCCTCGGGCTGCTATTCCCCAGGGCAGGGCACCCCTTAGTATAACTTTTCTCTAGTTACCTCTGACAGCAAATGAATTCAGTCAATAGTTTATTTAACCCATACGTTCAGGTGGCGGAGAAGATAAGGTTCCATGCATTTCCCAAGGATGGTTTCGTATTAGTAACGGTAACGAACTTCATCGGATGTCGAACTTGGATCACTGATGCCATTCCTGTCTGGATTAGAAGGAAACTTAACATTTCAACGTACATGAAAAGCAGCTGTTAGTAACGGAGCTCGAATTCATTCTATTCGATTTTACATCAGTATGCCTCTGCCATATAAAAGGAATCGAAAATGGAAATAGTTGATTCGTGGCTGCATCCATAAGTCATCGACCGCTCACTGTAATACAGCAGCGGGCAAGCAGGAAATATCGAGAGGCGTTATTGCTTGTGTCATTTGAGGTTTGGTATTGTGAAACCCAGTCGGCCAGTTCCTGACCCGAAAAATGTTCGGACAGCGGACGGGCCAAATGTCTCTCGAGATTCATCATTGTTAATAGGGTGCATTGTTTACCATCTGGATATGTCTCGACAGAAGAGACTAAGGCCGAAGTTGATCGGAATAGAGACGAAACTGATAGTTAGGCCAAAGTAAAAGTAAAATGAAAGTGAAAGTGAAAGTACATATGTTTTAAATAAGTTATTTAGCATAGAGGAGGTAAACGGAGAATCAAATAAAAAAGAAAGTAATTTATTTTAAACAAAAGTGGAAGTATTGAAATTACCATCATAAGGTTGCAAATAATGATGTAAATATTACGAATCGACGAGAGAACTATAGAAAAGTCGAATGAAGAAAAAAAAATGAACAAGCTTTTGAAATAAATGTTTGAGATAAAAACGAAGACTACCAAATAGCGAAAAGTGAAAATATTTTGATGCTAAGAGAATTAAAGTAAGAAACGGAGAGAAATAAGAAGAAAGCGATAAAGTGTAAATAGTAAGCGATTAAGAGAAGAAGAAAACAGAGTTAAAAGGAAAGGAAATAAAAGTAATAAGAGTAACTAATACACGTACAAAAAAGAAGGGGGGAATAGGAACATCAGATAAGAAAAGAAAGAAAGAAACAAGCAAATGATTAAAGAAAGATAGAAAGAAAGCAGTAAAGAAAGACTGAAACAAAAAGATGAAACAATTCAGTAACCAAAAAACAGTAAAGAAACATTGAATCAAATAAAGAACTAAAGATTGACTGAACAGAAAACAAACTGGAAATATCGGTGTATTAGAGTGAAAATTTAATATATGAGAAAAAAGTAACCAGTGTAGGTACAGCAACAAATAATAGACTCTTAGAAAACTAAAAGAAACTGATGAATAAAATTCTACAAAAAGCAGAGGAAAAACGGACTTAATATTAAGGTTACATGTAATGAGAAACCAACAAGAAATAAAGCAATTATAGTTATGTCCGCCAAATTAACGTGAGCCTGAAAACAAAAGCATTGAAAACAAAAATGAGAGAAAGGAAAACCAACTAACGGATATATAGACAGATATGAACGTAAGAAAATAAATATTCAGCCTTTGAGAGTGTAAAGACAAGGAAAAACATTTCATATAAAACGGATAGTAGGAAAAGAAAGATAAGGGTGGAAGAACATTTTGGAATAAGTTTTGATCTAAGTAATCTTGGCGTTAGGTCTGAAAGGTTAGAAACGGGAGAATTTAAGAAGGGAAGGAAAAAGATTGTTTGATAGAAAAGTAGTGAAATGCGTTGCAATGAGAAATCCGAAGAAAGAATAAACTGAATAAGAAAAACGAAGGGAAATGATGAAAACAAGGCTAAGATTAAGAAAGAAAGAAAGAAAGAAAGAAAGAAAGAAAGAAAGAAAGAAAGAAAGAAAGAAAGAAAAGATACAGAAGAAAAGAAATTGCTGGAAAGAAAGAAAGAAAGAAAGAAAGAAAGAAAGAAAGAAAGAAAGAAAGAAAGAAAGAAAGAAAGAAAGAAAAGATACCGAAGAAAAGAAATTGCTGGAAAGAAAGAAAGAAAGAAAGAAAGAAAGAAAGAAAGAAAGAAAGAAAGAAAAGATACCGAAGAAAAGAAATTGCTGGAAAGAAAGAAAGAAAGAAAGAAAGAAAGAAAGAAAGAAAGAAAGAAAGAAAGAAAGAAAGAAAAGATACCGAAGAAAAGAAATTGCTGGAAAGAAAGAAAAGAAAGAAAGAAAGAAAGAAAGAAAGAAAGAAAGAAAGAAAGAAAGAAAGATGTAGAAGAAAAGAAATTGCTGGAAAGAAAGAAAGAAAGAAAGAAAGAAAGAAAGAAAGAAAGAAAGAAAGAAAGAAAATATACAAGAGAAAAGAAGTCGTTGGAAAGAAAGAAAGAAAGAAAGAAAGAAAGAAAGAAAGAAAGAAAGAAAGATTTAGAAGAAAAGAGATTGCTGGAAAGAAAGAAAGAAAGAAAGAAAGAAAGAAAGAAAGAAAGAAAGAAAGAAAGATTTAGAAGAAAAAAGATTGCTGGAAAGAAAGAAAGAAAGAAAGAAAGAAAGAAAGAAAGAAAGAAAGAAAGAAAGAAAGAAAGAAAATATACAAGCGAAAAGCAATCGTTGGAAAGAAAGAAAGAAAGAAAGAAAGAAAGAAAGAAAGAAAGAAAGAAAGAAAGAAAGAAAGAAAGATGTAGAAGAAAAGAGATTGCTGGAATAAAAGTAAGAAAGAAAGATGTAGAAGAAAAGAGATTGCTGGAATAAAAGAAACAAAGAAAGAATGAAAGAAAGAAAATATACAAGAGAAAAGAAGTCGTTAGAAAGAAAGAAAGAAAGAAAGAAAGAAAGAAAGAAATAAAGAATGAAAGAAAGAAAGAAATGCCAGTGATGAATAAACAAAACAAAGGAATATTATTGCAGGGTAAAAAAAAGAAAGACATATATTTAGCAGAATTAAAGAACAGAAGGAAAGTATGTTTAAGTGCCTTCAAAGATGCATACCGTATTCCATGTCTACATCTCATCCCCTTCCACTCGGATACGATACCCAAATAACCCTTACCACCCCATCATCATCCTTGCCACAAGGACTGCTAATATTCCCAATGTCGACACCAGCATCACCCATGTCGTCACCGTGGACACTCTTCTTCCCAGTGACCTAGTCTCCTGGGTACAAAATCACGTGTTACTGGTGTGTTTCCCGTCAAAAGAGGATATAGGGGCGTTCTAAGTGATATGTGTCCGGTGTAATTAGCCATTGGAGTGCAAGATGTCCGACTGCAATGGCTCCGCAAATAAGAAAGTGCTGAAAGAATTTGGGGGAATTCGAGTGATATTCGTTTATAGAATCAATTTGTTTAAATTATTTCAAGTAAGAATATGGTGGCACTGAATAAATACATACAAAGGTTCTCGCACAATTCTTTTATATTCATGCAGAAAAATGATTTCTATTACTTCGTCTCAGATAATCCTTGGACAAAAACAAGCGTTTCAATGTGACATTAAATATGAAATGTGATGTTATATAGACTCGGAAGATAATTCTTTTTTAATTTAAGAGCTTAAACGATTATGGCCCTTTGACTTGTATCATTTACTGAAGTCAGGAAAGATTACAGTAAATTCAAAGTTAATCAACGTATAGCCATGATTCCAGTGAGAAAATGATTTAATGTGAATCACTCATCTAAAAAACACAAATTAATTTCCATATATTTTATTGTCTACGACATTTCCACTTTCTTCCTTCATAACAATGATCTGAAACCCCAAAGCAAATTCACAAAAGAATGGCTTCATGAAAACAAATTTCAAGTCTGGCAATGGCCAAGTCTAAACCCAAAAATGAAAATCTGTGATTCCTGTGAAAGGCAGTGCATGCAAAAGCCCAGGTAATATTGATCAACTGCAGGAGTTTTGCCAAGAATGGTCAAAAATAGGCACTCACTACTTCCAGAAACTTGTTAAAAGTTATAGGAAAAGACCGGATGATATTGTAACCTTAAAATGAGCAATGATCAAATATTATATCTAAGGGTTCGCTTACATTTGCACATATTAATTTTTAATATAGAATTATTATTTTCATTCCAGCTCCATAAAAATTTTTGGTTGTCGTCATTGATTTAATAAAGATTTTTTTCTAAATGAATTTAAGTATAATTAAGATATTTTTATTATCTGGATTAAAGAGACAATTATTTAAAATATTATCCTAAGGGTCTACTTACTTTTCCACGGCATCACACACACAACACACACACACACACACACACACACACACACACACACATATATATATATATATATATATATATATATATATATATATATATATATATAATTATTATTAGTAGTAGTAATCTTATAAGTATAAGAAATTATACTCGTTCGGAAAACCTTTGGTGTTTTGATTTGCAAATAATGAAACGAATACCAAAGGGTATAAAAAAGAAAGAACCAAGAACATATACGTTAGCCGAAAATAATCGTCTAGCATGTAAGTCCAAAGCCCGAAGAAGAAAAAAAAATCCGATACGAGTACGCAAAATAACTAAATAAAGTGATTAATGCAATAAGTAGAGCAGACCTTGTTAAATCTAGAGAGCCAGACAACCTACCACGGTTTCACCTTAGCGGATTGTCAGGGAAGGCTGGCTACTGCCTTTCCTGACGATCCACTAAGGTGAAACCGTGGTAGGTTGTCTGGCTCTCTAGGTTTTATATATATATATATATATATATATATATATATATATATATATATATATATATATACAAACACTCGACAATGTGCAAAATATTCCCAAACTCAATATTCCAAAACCAAGGATCCGAATATTGATTTAAAGGGAGAAGTTTTGGATCATGAACTCTTAGCAAACCCAGAACATTTTAATATTTAAGAATTTGGTATAGCTTTGGTGCAAATCTATGATAATGGAATTCTCAAAATTGATTTCGCAAGTAGCGTCGTTCAATATTACGTCGTCCATCATCTCTATGTATAACTCATCCAACCTATGTATACATATAATTTAGGTGAATATTTTCGGATATATTCATGTGATATATATGCATATTTAAAGGCCGGTCATCTTCATATACAAATAATATTTACAAATATAGCAAGGGGACGATACTAAATGGCAGGTGGATGAACCGTTTACTCTTGTTTATCATCGGAATTTATATTATTTCGCATTAACCCACGTTAAGCTATTGGAATAGAAATAGAATCGAAAAGCCAATAAACTTTAAATACGTGTATAACTACAGATCCAGATCCGCTAGTCGCTAATGAGTGTGTATAATAATAACAGAAATATTTGTAATAAAGACTGTTATTTCATTGCACAAATAATATCAATGGCGTCACCAAGATTTTTAGAAGCATTTTTAGAAAAAAAACTGTGTAGTGAACACAATATGAAAAATATGAATTAACATCCACAAAAAAAAGCATTAATTTATTTAAGTATATATATATTCTTTTGCTTTATCATGTTCACTCTGGGCGTAGTGGATCAAAATCTTCACCACTTCCGTTCTTGATCATTCTAAATTCCTTTTGACCCATAATCCTCCATCTTTGTGCCTATTCTGACATCTATACATTAAAACACATTAAATTGTTTATTTAATTTTTACTTGCTTTTCTTGCATTTATGATGTCCTTCAGTGTCCTGGAAATGTCAACGCAACATTTTGGCATCTGCCAATATTTCTGAGATGAGGCATTATGTAAACTATTTACATTATTCGGACAATTGTCCTCATCTTTGTTGCCATATTTATCACAAAGTTTCGGCCGTTGTACGCTCCAACCTTCTACAAGTGGTTGGAATGTCGAACTGAACCCTTTATTTCGCCCACTGGTGTAGACTGTTCTAGTTCCACGTGACATGTCTAATGGATATCAGTTATCATATATCTCCTGTTAATTCACCTCTCTATGTTCCCCACTGCCTTAACTAGGTATTGAACTCACAACTCTTTGGGTCCTGTCACTGGATCCTAACCAACGCCTTTATTTACTGCGAAATAAAGGGTCAGTTCGACATTCCAACCACCTGATTATGGCTGTACACGGCCGAAATCTTGTGTTAAATATGGCGACTAAGATGAGGACAATAGTTCAAATAATGTAAATAGTGCACTATTTTGGTGTTTAGTATAAATACTCTTGTAATTCTTATTTTCTTGTAAACTTTTTTTAATGTTCTCTTGAGCTGTTCATGGATTTCACATAATTCAAAGTCCGAACCTTATCTTTGAGGATTTAAGTCTCTTCTTCATCTTTGAGTATGTTGTTTAACATTTTGCTTTGGAATAAATGAAGGTGCAGATACTATTTTCCGTTCATTCTTTAATTGTCCTGGCTGAAACGTATACCTTCCAAAAAACGTTTCCTATTAACCAAGCTTGATCAAGGAGAACGGATCCCAAAGAAAGCAAATAGATATAAAAAGGCCGTACTTCTACTGAAAATTCACTTCCGAAAGTTTTACTTTCTATTTAAGATTTTATACCAACCATTAGGCAATAAGATACAATCTTCAAATGGAAGTAATCAGAAAAAAAAACAAAGAAAACTCGTTCACACATTACAATTAATACCACTGGATACATATTAAAAGGATTATCTTAGAACATCACATTACTATTGGTACTGAAGAATACGGATACATCTTAACTATGGAGCAGTTTTTTTGGCACATTTCAATTCACATGACTGGAGATACGACACACTATATTTTGTGTTTTAAAACCCTTCGTCTAAATGAAATCTACGTTCTGCTATTTTTCGTATTTGGATTTCTTTGATTTTATCATCCCTATTATTTTTTGTTTTCTACAATGAAGTTCTGGAATGGAAACTCTATTCTTCATCAGCGTATATTCATTTTACATGTATTTAAACAATCGCACAAATATCTTGGCGGTGTTACAACTGTAGAAGGAAGATGCGATGCAAATATCCGAAGGTACATTGAAATAGTGAAAGATCCCTTCTAAATGCTAAACAAAGTATTCCGAAAAAAAATATTTAGTTAGAAACAAAGAAAGAAGTACTGGATTGCCATACAATTTCTATTCGTCTTTAACACAGTGAATATTGGAAATATACTAATCGATGAGAAGGAAATATCTGTAAACAGAATCGTGGTTCTATTAAAAAAAAAACCTGAGACTATAATAGACCAAAAATATGTGCATCGCGTGAATTTGAAAGAAAATGGGAACAAAAAGGTCATTTTTACACAGGTCGGAACAAGTTTTTAGCAATTTTAAGTGAATTTTGAAGACAATATTTAGTTATTTGTATGGATATTCTTTCAACCATATATGTACTATTTTGATCAATTATATTTCTTCATCTTTGAGGCAGCTTAAGTAACCCAGTCTCCCAGAACTTAGCATTTTTCGGGTAATTATTTGGTCTAAGTTGATTATAGAGTCTTCCAGGAAATGAAGTTCCTCCTATTAATATGTTTTTTAAGGATCGAAATAAATGGCTATCAGAAGCTGATCAGATATATACACCACTTAGAATATCCTAGTCACGGTGAACTAATTTCTGGTTGGTCTCCAAACGAACGTGGGGAGTGGCGTTTTCCTGATGGAAGACGACAGTCTTCCGACTGGCCAGTTTCGGGCGGTTTTCATCGGTCCCAGTTAATAACCGTGGTCCTTCCAATTTCAGCAGATAAACAGCATCACTTTCTTCAGATTTAGAGCAGCTTACATTGATAGGTACGAATAGATAGACATTGATCATTTAATCATTCCATACAACATAGGAAACCGGCGTACGAAAAGAAAATTAATACCCTCGCTTTCACTTCCGAGACCAATGTACTGATGATGATATGGTCTATGTCGACGATATTTACTGGGCTAAAATGATCAAAATATGAGAAGGAATTGGAATCAAACTGGTGATGGCAGCTATACCCAGCCCATCAAAGAATTTCAGGATGTGGAATTAGTAAATAAAAGACACTTCAAATACCTCAGTGTATGGATCTCTAATTAGGAATTTAGTATAGAAATTGGACCTAGAATAGCCTGCGCTAGATGCAGTTTCCCCCAACACCACAAGTTGCTACAAAACAAAAA